GTTACACGACAAAAATAAAATAAACTTTTTAACAAAAAAACTAAAATGGAGAGGGTAGAACGCGTAACAAAAAAAAAATTATAGGATACAAATACATATCTCACATGTCTGGAAGGTCTCAAATTTTGCGGTAACTAGAAAGTACAGAGAAAAATCTGAGTTCTCATAAGAAGAAAGAAAAAGGGGTAAGAAGTGAATAGGTGAAAAATAGCATCTGAGACTGAATAATAAATTGGTATTTAGTATGATTACTAAGGAGAAACAGAAGATGGATTATATAGAATATTATTAATTAGGTTCATAGAATGATCAGTAAACATCAAGTGTGAAGAAGCTAGGAAGACAGTAACCAAAATACCAGGTAAAATAAAAACCTTTAAGAGGTCTGAAACAAGCTTGAAAGAACACTGACACAAAGTTACTTTAAACAGAAGCAAACAAAAAACACAGCAACAGGTGTGGTACCAGCAAAAAGTATTTACGTCTTTGTCTCTTGTGCTTAGTACAGTGCCTTGCACATACTCAGTGACCACTGTTCATGCTGACTACTGCTGAAATGACAAAGGAGAGAAAAAATCAAGCTAAGATGAACAGAGAGAGGAAAAATGCAAAAATGAATTTGTTGTTGTTAGTTGCCGTCTAACCGATTCCAACTCATGCTGACCCCATGTGGGCAGAGTAGAACTGTTCCGTAGGGTTTCCAAGGCTATGACTTCTAGGAAGTCAATCACTAGTCCTGTCTTCTGAGGCATCTCTTAAACATTTCTAAAAGATGAGGTGGGATTTTTCATTAGAGCTGATTCTCAATACTGTCTAAACCTTTACGATAGTCTGCCAAAAAAAGAAAAAGAAAATTTCCCTAATACTAGCCATTCATCTCATTATTTAAAACTTGACTCTTTCATACATCTTCCTACACTAGCTTCATCTTGATTCATGGATTTCAATCATTCAAGTAATCTGCCTTATTCTATTGCACCTGGTATTTTCTCTGGCACAGTACTTACCACAGTTATTGTAGCTGTTTATTTAATTCTCTATCTACCCAGTTAAACTCTAAGCTTTTGAGAAGGTTGAAACAGTATCTGTTTTGTATCTCTAATACCTAAGAGAGTACATAGCCCATGGTAGACACTAAACAATAAATTGCTGATGGAATAAGTGAATGAATACTATATATGTACTATGTCATTAATTTTTTTCCTATCTTCTCAGGTTTTAAGTTCCTCCTGGTGGAGTGGTTAAGAGTTCAGCTGCTAACCAAAAGGTCGGCAGTTTGGATACACCAGCCACTCCTTGGAAACCCTATGGGGCAGTTCTACTGTGTCCTATAGGGTCGCTTTGAGTTGGAATTGACTCAAAGGCAACAGGTTTGGTTTTTTGGTTTTTTTCTACATTGTAGAATAAGATAAGTACAAGTGAGGAGTACAAACAGCACTTGCTATAAAAGTTGAGGGGAGAAAGTAATTTTGAAAAGAAAGAATATTGACTATATCATGGACTTCTAGAAGAACAAACAAATAAGCCTTGGAAGAAATACAACCAGAATGCTTCTTAGAAGTGATGTTGGCAAGACTTCATCTTGCTTACTTTGGACACATAATCCAGAAGGACAAATTGCTAGAAAAGGACATCATGCTGGCAAAGTAGAGTGTCAGCAAAAACAAGGGAAAAGCTCAGTGAGATGGATTGACACACAATGGTCTCAAACATACCAACTATCACAAAGATGGCACAGGATTGGGCAACATTTTGTTCTGTTATACATAAGGTCACCACAAGTCAGAGCTGATTTGAGAGCAACTAACAACTAGAAAATTTAAAATTACACACATGGCATTCATTTGTGGCTTATATAATATTTCCACTGGCCAGTATGGCTCTAGAAAATGGGAAATTAAGGAAGAATAATGAGTAGGGATTTTTTTTTTCAGGTAGATGTGTTTTAAAAAGTTTATTCTGGCATAAATAGAAAATATTGGCTTTGGAAAAGGCTATATAGGAGTGGTTCTCAGATTTGATTGTACATAAGAATCATCTGGGCAACTTAATAAAATGTAGATTCCTGCACCCTACCCTGTTGTTGTTGTTGTTAGGTGTCATCAAGTCAATTTTTGACTCATAGGGACCCCATGTGACAAAGTGGAACTGCCCCATTGGGTTTTCTAGGCTGTAATCTTTATGGAAGGAGCCCTGGTGGCACAGTGGTTAAGCACTTGGCTGCTAATTGAAACACTGGTGGTTTGAACTCACCAGCCATTCTGTGGGAAAAAGATGTGACAGTCTGTTCCTGTAAAGATTACAGTGTTGGAAACTCTATGGGGCACTTCTACCATGTCCTATCAGGTTGCCAGGAGTTGGAATCAACTTGACGGCAATGGGTTTGGTTTTTTTGGAATCTTTCTGGAAGCAGATCACCAGGTCTTTCTCCTGTGGAGCCACTGGGTGGGTTTGAACCACCAACCTTTCAGTTAGAAGCCAAGCACTTAACCGTTGTGCTACCAGTGCTCTGGGCATAGGAACAAAACATCTGCATTTTTAAAATCACCTCAGGTGGTCTCCAGTCCAGGGGAAAAAAAATCCACAAAGTTTAACCAATCTGAAGCAAAAGAAACAGAAATAGCATCACACCAAGGTAAATTATTATCAAATTGCTAAAAACTAGTGGGGGGAAAAATCTTAAATGTAGCTAGGAAAAGAAAGACACATAAAAACACAGATAAGAATTACAGAGGACATCTTGTCAAAAATAATATGAGGCAGGAGACAATGGAGTGACATCTTTAAAATACTAAAAGAAAAAAAACTGTCAACTAATAATTCTAAAATATCTCTCAGAAATGAAGGAGAAATAAAGACATTTCAGACAGATAAAAGTTTATGAAATTTATGGACAGCAGACCAGCACATAAGAAATGTTCAAGAAAAACTTTTTAGGCAGAAGAAAGATGGTATCAGAGAGAAATCTGGTTGAAAAGCACTGAAAAGAGTTAGTATGTGGATGAATACAAAAGACCTTTTTTCTCATTTAGAAATCTCTTTAACAGATAATTTACTATTTAAAACAAAAATAATAATTTTCTGTGTGGTTTATATGAAGAATTAAAATATATAACAATAATAACACAAAGGATAGAAGGGAAAATGGGAGCATTCTTATAAGGTTTTCACACAATATGTAAAATGGTATAATATTATTTTAAGGTAAAGTGTGATTAAGTTAAAGGTGTATATTGTAAAACTTAGAGTAGCCACTAAACAAAACAAAAATTAAAAGTGGCATGTCAATAAGTCAATAATAATCATCTCAATAAATGCAGAAAAAACATTCATCAAAATTCAACACTAATTGACAATAAAAACTGGTAGTACACTAGGAATAGAAGGGAACTTCCTCAACCTGAAAAAGTTCATTATAAGAAACCTATAACTAACATCATATTTAATAGTGAAAGACTGAATGCTTTTCCCTAAGACTGGGATCAAGGCAAGGATGTGCACACACATTACTTCTATTCACTATGGCATTGTAGGTCATAGACATTGCAATAAGGCTATTTTAAAAATAAATATAATAAATATAATAAAAAGCAGATACATTGGAAAGGAAAAATTAAAATTGCCTTCTTCACAGACAACATGATTTTCTAGTAAAAATCGTATAAATCTACAAAAAAAGAAGCTATACATCTAAGTAATTTTAGTAAAGTCACCTGATACAATGCCAATACATGAAAATCAACTTTACTTTTAAAGTGGCAAATAATAATCAGAAATAAAAACAAGAAATACTATTCAATATAGCATAAAAATTTTTAGGGATAAATTCAATAAAATATGTTCAAGACCTGTGCATTGAAAATTATAAAATACCGTTTAAAGAAATTGTATATGTCATACGCATACACTGGAAAACTCAAAATTATTAAGATGTCAGTTCTTCCCAAATTGTTCTATAGAGTCAATGCAATCCTGATCAAAATCCTAGTAGGTTTTTTAAAATAGAAATCGACAAACTGGTTCTGAAATTTATATGGAAAGGTAAAGAATCAATAATAGCCAGAACAATTTTCAAAAGAAAGAACAAAACTTCAGAGGGTCTGTATTATCTGATTTTAAGGCTGCTCATAAATTTGTAGTAATTAAGATAGTATGGTATTTGCCATATAGATATATAGATTAATGGAGCATGATCCTCTGACACAGCCCATTACTATCTGGTATCCTCCTTGCTTTCTAGCCTCACCTAATTCTACAATAAAGAATTGAGAAATGGACCTACACATATATATGTAAAACTGATTTTAAACAAAGGTGCCAAGGCAATTCAAAGGAGAAAGGATAATCTTTTCAACAAATGATGCTGGAACTATTAAATAGCCATATGTAAGGAAATGAATCTAAACCATTCCCTCATACCACATTTAAATATAAGTAAAAAATAGATCATTGACCTAAATGTAATAGCTGAAACTATAACACTTCTAGAAGAAATCATTGGAGAAAACGAGTGATCTTAGTTTAGGTAAAGATTTTTTAAAGAAATCAGAAAAAGCACAAAAAATGACAAATTTGACTTCATCAAAAATGAACATATGTTCTTCAAAAGACAGTTAAGAAAATGAAAGGACAAGTCACTGACTGGGATAGAAATATTGGCAAAGCATGCATCTGTAAAAGGGCTTGTATCCAGAATATATAAAGAAATCTCAAAACTCAGCAGTAAATGGTGACAATGGAACAACAAGATGAACATGATTAATGTCACTGAAATGTATAAAATGGAAAATATTTTGTTACATATATTTACCACAATTAAACAAAACAAAACAGTAAGAAAGCCAACAATCCAATTAGCAAAAATGGGCAAAAGACTTGAGTAAATATTTCACCAAAGAAGATACAAGGATGGCAAATAAGCACATGAAAAGATGTTTAATGTCATTAGTCATAAGGGAAATGCACATTAAAATCACAATGCGATACCATTATCCACTTACTTGAATGACTAAAAGTAAAAAGACTGACCACACCAAGTGTTGCTGAGGATGTGGAGCAACTGAGACTCTCATACATTTCTGGTGGGAACAGAAAATGGTACGGCCACTTTAGAAAACAGTATATGAATTTCTTATACTCACCAAATGACCCAGAAATTTCAGAGATATTTACTCAAGAAAAATGAAAACCTATATCCACACAAAGTCTTGTAAGGGCAGGTTCACAGCAGCTTTATTTATAATAGCCTAAAAGTAGAATAACTCAAATGTCCACTAACTGGTGAATGGACAAATACATTGTGGTATTTCCATATAAAGGAATACTACTGAGCAATAAAAAAGAATAAAGTAGTGATACAAGCAACAACACTGATAAATCTCAAAAGCATTATTCTAAGTGAAACAGGCTAGACAGTGAGGAAGAGCATTCCAGAACTAAGGCTCTTCACATGACTAAGACTTCTGGCTAAGGTTTAGGCCAAATCCCTTCTTGTCCTAAGTGATTCCATTTGTATTTTTAAAATTGTAGTTTCTGTCGTCAGTAAAGTTTCTACTTTACCTTTGACCTCGAAGCAGGTAGTTTTACAGAAAAATGTGGTTTTACCTACCCTACTTTGCTGAAGGAAGAGCTTGTGGTGAGACATGGCCTATGTTAGGAAAAGATTATTCAGATTGAGCAGGATTTACACATAGTATTAAACATGTGGCTTTAGTAGCTAAGCCAAATTACTCCTAGACCCCCCTAAAAAAGTTTTTCAGATCTCCTTTATAGTACCCTGTATCTGTATTTTTAAAATGTTCCAGGAAATGTATGGTCAGCCAAATCCTGTCACCTGGAGCCACCCTTGCAAAGGAGGTCAACCAAGACCCTGCCACCTGCAACTTTGTAAATGTTAACCAATCAGAAATACTCCTGTTGTATCTTCCTTATTTGCAGTTTTTGCCTTTATTAACCTCTGTAACACTGTAGCTCCTTGGATTACCTTGCTGGATTTCTCCCAGCACTGTGTTGCCTGTTTTGCAAAGTGCTCTTTTGCTATACTAAAAGTCTTTGTTTTTAATTTTAAACAGACTTGTAATTTTTTCTCTATGACAACACAAAAGACTACAAACTGCATGGTTCCATTTGTATGAAATCCTAAGCAGATCAGTGATTACCAGAGGCCAGGAGTAAACCTTTTGGGTGACAGAAATGTTCTATATCATGATTATGTTAGTGATTATATGACTGTATAAATCCAAAAACCAAACCCATTGCCGTTGAGTCGATTCTGACTCATAGCGACCCTATAGGACAGAGTAGAACTGCCCCATAGAGTTTCTAAGTAGCACCTGGTGGATTCAACTGCTGACCTTTTGCTTAGCAGCTGTAGCTCTTAACCACTATGCCACCAGGGTTTGTATACACTTGGTAAAATTCACTCAATTATACTTTTAAAATTAGCGAATTAATTGGATATAAAATATACCTCAACAAGGCTGACAAAAAAACAAAGGCAAAGAGATTTTGGTTGCTACTGATGAATTTCAAGAAAGCAGTATGGTGGGAGTGGGTGATGTTTAATTCCATCGGTTTAAAGAGGTAGTGAAAAAGTAACCAGCATTCCTTGGAGGAATGGCTGATGGCAGAGTTAGGTCAGGATAGATAACGAGGAAGCTATGAAATATTAGTGGGCTGTGTCAGAGGACATAGGAGTCAACATGAAGGGGTTCCTATTGCCAAAAGATAGAACAATTTGAGCTTGAAAAGAAAATTAATAAATACAATGGATTGAAAATACATTGAACATATAAAAACTGATGAGTTCAAAATTATGATGTGCTACGGTGATGTATAGTGAAGCTATGTAGGGATGGAATGACAAAATACTCGGTTATTTTCTGGGGGGGAAAAGAACTGTATTTCTTACTTTCTAAGCCCAAATATATACACATATAAATACAAGAAAGAGAATTGAGAAAATTGAGGTAGTGTGCTTATATTTTTCTCTTTGGAATTAGGTAAGAGAAGAAATTAAAGAGATTAGACAATAACCTAATGGCATAGTAAATCAAAACACAGTGTTTTTGCTGTAAAGACTAGGGTATCTGAGCCTATCTATACAAACAAGGAAGGACCAAGCAGTGGAAAAGGGGAGTTTGAGGGCCAGAGAAGTTTAAGCGGGTGGGGGCAGTTATTCTGATAATACTGTACAGGAAGGTATTCACAACACTCAGTTCTGTTGCTTTAGGTATTTCCTCAGGGCCACGGAGAGGGTAGGTATACTGAAGTCAGGGTTAAAACCAGACCTCTGACTATTAGTATAGTGTTCTTTGTGACTGCTAGTAAATATGACACAGTCCTAGAGAAACCTAATCTACATTTTTATCTGTAGCTTTTTAAACTTTTGCCTGTATCACTCTGCTACTCTGTTTTCCTTTTATATATATATATATTTATTGTGATAAAAATATAACATAACATTAGCCAATTCAACATTTTTTACAAGTACAATTCAGTGGCATCGATTACGTTTAATCATGTTGTGCAAGCTTCACCTGTATCCATTGCCAAAGCTTCCATCAACATTAACAGATGCTCAATGCTTCCAAACAATGACTCTCCCTTTCCCTCTTCCTCTCACCCCAGGTAAACATCAATAAGTGGGATCATATAGTATTTGTCCTTTTGTGACTGACATACTTCACTCAGCATAATATTTTCAAGATTCATCCATGTTTTAGCATGTGCCAGGACTCATTTCTCTTTATGGCTCACTCAGTTATTTCTTCATACTTCATACCATCATTAAATAATTGACTATATTAAAATATTTTATTTATTGTACTTAAGTTTATTTTGATTGCTTCTCAATCTGAGAATTGGTAGAAAAAAGATAAAAAGAAAGAGAAAAGATTAAAAATAAAAAAGCAAACCTAAGCAGAATACCAACAAAACCACCTTAACTGAGCATATTCCTTTAAGTGAAATTTGTGTCATGTTGCCAAGTAATGAGAAGTAGCTTTCACCTCAGGGTACGACGCAAGAAAGTGAGGTAAATGTAAATAAGAAGCATAGAGGGGAAAAAACTAATTAAAAAAAAACCTCAACAGTGCCCTTTTGTACGGAAGTGGTCATCTGCAACTGTCTCAAAAGTGTGCAGTTCAATCTGCTTTTTCTGTAAGCTTGAAATATAGCATACCTGCCCTAGGAACATGGAGATTTGTTAAGAGCTGGTTCCGCTGCTACCAATGAGCTATTTGGCCTTGATCTTTGGTTTGCTTCCTCATCTACAAATGCTAATAATAACATCCGCCTCACCTGCCTCGCTGGTTGGAAGTGAAAGTGACGTACGTAGCAGATGTGAAAGAAGCTTGAAAGTTTGTTTTGTTCTGTAGGTTGCTAAGGTCTAAAAGCAACAGTTAAGTTGAACATCCTTTGCAGAAAAAATATTGAAACTGAAAAACAAATTGGCATGTTTTGTTGTTGTGGTTGTGTGCGGGTCGAGTCGATTTCGACTCATAGCGACCCTATAGTACAGAGGAGAACTGCCTCATAGGGCTTCCACCGAGAGGCTGGTGAATTTGAACTACTGACCTTTTGGTTACAGTCGAGCTAACTACGCCACCAGGGCTCCCATATGTTTTAGTCCTCCTAATTTTCGAAGGGTGCCTTGCTGGCGCAGTGGCTAAGAGCTTAGGCTGCTAACCAAAAAGGCAGCAGTTCGAGTCTAGCAACCGCTGCTTGGAAACCCTGTGCGGTGGTTCTACTCTGTCCTATATAGCTCTGACTGTCCAGTAGTCTCGCTGTGAGTCGGAATCGACTCGATAGCAAGGAATAACTTTCGAATGTGACCACTGTGAGGGAAGTGTAGATTCTGCCCTTCCCATATCTCCTCTCACCGCTCCCCAAGTGCACGGAACACCCACAAAAGGATTGAGAGTTAAGATTGAATAGCGTAAGCAGAGGAAGCTTTGGGGAAGGCTAAGGCTGAAGGAATGCTCGCTGAGGAAAAGGAGAGAAGCAGAGGGAAGCTAGAAACGCATTTCTCCACAGTTGGGGAACTTACTGTTAGTCAACTCTGTCAGTCCAAGCGACAACTGGTTACCATAGCGACGGAGTCACAAAGGGCGGAGCGTCGCTTCCGATCCGCGTCTCCGCCCCTACGACTCCGCCAAAAACGTGTACACGTCACAGCAATGACTTCCGGCGGAAGGTAAAGCCGGTTCCGAGTTCTGTCCGAAAGAATGCATGGAGTGGATACACACGGCTGTGTGAAGTTTGGTAAGTCTGATAGCGAGTAAAGCCAGGAGAGGGTACTCGCCGTTGGTTAGGAGGGTACAGCTGACTGTGAGTCCGGTGGATCCCCAAGTCCGAACATGAGGAGGCTCCAACTGTATCTTCACGTTCTCAGCTGTGGAAAGAGGTCCAGTGCTTTCTGGGGCGCCTGGTGGAGTCTTTTCTGTAGCCTGGAGGGCTTGAGGCATCCCCGAGTGGGCAGTTTCGGGGGCTCTTTGTGAGGCCTGAGCGCCTCACCAGTAACAGAGGAACTCTTGCTTTCTAGCTTCCCCTGCTGACTGGCTATTTTGTGTATAGTATCCTTCAAAAGTAATCTGAGGGAGGAAAAAAAGTGAATAGGAGAAATTCAGAAGGAATACCTGCAAATTCATTTTAGTTTCTTTGCTTTGTTATTTTAAATTTATTTTAGTAAACTTTTATTAAGCTTCTCTAGTGTGTTTAGTAAAAGGAGTGGCGCAGTGGTTTAGCGCTCGGCTGCTAACCAAAAGGTCGGCGGTTCGAACTCAACAGCCGCTCCGCAGGAAAGCATTGTGGCAGTTTGTTTCCTAAAGATTTACAGCCTTGGATACCCTATGGGGCAGTTCTTCTCTATCCTATAGGGTCACTGTGAGTCTGAGTCGACTTGAGAGCAACAGGTAGTGTTTAGTGAATGCCTACTGTGTGCCGGTTTACCAAAAGACTAGCAAAAATACTTTCTTAGAGGGTCATCCACCACTTGGACTCGTTATCGAATTCCTTTTATGCTATTGGATTTCCATTAATTTGAGATATCAGTGTATATTGTGAAGTGTGTAACAGGTTTTCCATACTTGTCTGTATACTTATATATGATATAATTGGGACATTGTAAATGGAAAAATGTGCTTCATCAGGTTTGCAGTATAATTATGATACTGAACTAAATATTAGAGAACTTAGAAAATTGGTACTTGCTTATTTTGTATATAAATGCAAATCAATGAATTATCAATATTTTTATTCAGTTGATCTGAGAAAGGCCACTTCTTGTTCCATGGATGATGGCGTTTGAGCAGATACCAAGAAAGGATTGGTACAGCGTTCTGGGAGCAGACCCATCTGCAAGTGTGTCAGACTTAAAAGAAAAGTATCAAAAACTCATTTTAATGGTAAGTAAGTGTTTTCTCTTAGATTTTAAATCATGGGGAAAAAAAATCAGTTTGTGAATGTTACCAGAAAGTTAAGTTTCCCCAAATTGAAAATACGATATCAGTGGCAAGACTTAAGATTTAATTTGGTTTAATTGAAAATTTCAGTAATAATGGGAAAAAAAAAAAAAAAAAAAAAACAACCTTGGTTTGAGGGAGGATAGCATCTTGGTTGGAACAAGGGCTCTCAGTCAAGGCTGATTGAGTTCGAATCCTGACTCTGCTAGTAACTAGCTGTGAGAATGTGAACAAGTTTCTTTCCCCTCTCTGTGCTGCTTTTTTTTTTAAAGAAAAATTCCCTAAAGTATTGTTGGGGTGGTTAAATGAAATAATCCATGTAAAATGCATAGAAGAGTGGCACACAATAAGCAGTGTTAGCATCCAGTAGCCACTAGCTGCATGTGGCTGTGGAGCACTTGACATGTGACTAGTCCAAATTGACATGGGTTCTAAGTGTAAAATATACACTGGACTTTGGAGATTTAGTACAAAGAAAAGGTATAAAATACTTGCAGGCATTTTTAATATTTATTCCATTTTGAAATGGTAATATTTTGGATATCCTATTTTGGATATTATATGCATAATGTATACACATATATTTGCATATAAAATAAAATATATTATCAAAATTAATTTCACTTTTATTTTTAACATTGCATATGTGGCTTGCATTTATAGCTCTCATTGTATTTCTTTTGGATAGTGCTGATTTAGGCCATTTATACATTGTTTTTCAGCAAAGTCCATTCTTTTTTTGAAATGATTTGTTTTTTTAAATATTTAGTACCTTTCTAAACTGTTATATTATTTTTCTCAACCTATATTTTAATGACTTTCTTAAGCCAATGTTTGTACCTCTATAATGATATTCCAGTTAACTCAGTTTTCCAAAGAGTAGAAAACCATTGCTTATATAGCATTAGTTCTATAGTTTATACTGAAATCTCTGAGATTTTGCTGTAACTATTAATGTTCACTGTGAGAGATATTTGATGTTTCACCATCAGGAATGTACTAATATCCCTGCCTTAGGTAGTAAGTTGACCTGAATGATCTTGACGTTTCTTCTCAGAGTTTTTAAGATTTCTGTCAGTAAAATGAAGTAGATTTTATTGAAAGTTTTCCTAGTGTCAAATCATTCTTGTACCTCAGTTAACTGGGTGATGAGCCTGGAGAAGTAGACTGGGTCTGGAACATGCAAGGCCTTGTAGATCAAGGAGAAGCCATCGACGGTATATAGCAAAGTGGATGAACCATTTTACACATGCACTAGCAATGTATGAAAGAGTTCCAGTTGCTCCACATCCTCACCAACATTTGCTGCAGTTACTGTATTTCATTTCAGCAGTGGGGATTTCTGAGTCTTGGCCCTTTGACATTTTCAGTAGGATAATTCCTTGTTGTGTGGAACTGTCTTGTGTACTATAGGATGTATAGTGGCATCCCTGGCCTCTACCCACTAGATGCCAGTAAAAACCCATTGCTGTTGAGTCAATTCTGACTCATAGCAACCCTGTAGGACAGAGCAGAACTGTCCCATAGGGTTTCCAAGACTGTAAATCTTTACAGAAGCAGACTGCCACATCTTTTTCCTGTGGAGTGGCTGGTGGGTTCAAACTGCTGACTTTTCAGTTAGTAGCCAAGCGCTTAACAACTACGCCGTCAGGGCTCCTCTGGATGCCAGTATTGTTGTTGTTAGGGGCTGTCATGTTGGTTCTGACTCATAGCGACCCTTTGTACAACGGAATGAAACACTGCCCGGTCCCGTGCCATCCTCACAATTGTTATGCTTGAGCCATTGTTGCGGCCACTGTGTCAATCCATCTCGTTGAGGGTCTTCCTCTTTTTCACTGACCCTCTACTTTACCAAGCATGATGTCCTTCCGCAGGGACTGATCCCTCCTGATAACATGTCCACAGTATGTGAAACATACTCTCGCTATCGTTGCCTGTAAGGAGCATTCTGGTCTACCTCCTCCAAGACAGATTTGTTCATTCTTTTGGCAGTCCATGGTATATTCAATATTCTTTGCCAACACCGTACTTCAAAAAAGCGTCAATTCTTCTTCAGTCTTCCTTATTCATCATCCAGCTTTTGCATACATATGAAGTGATTGAAAACAGTATGGCTTGGGTCAGGCGCACCTTAATCTTCAAGGTGACATCTTTGCTATTTAACACTTTAAAGAGGTCTTTTGCAGCACATTTAACCACTACAATGTGTCATTTGATTTCTTGACTGCAGCTTCCATGGGCGTTGATTGTGGATCCAAGTAAAATGAAATCCTTGACAACTTCAGTCTTTTCTCTGTTTATCATGATGTTGCTTATTGTAGCTTTATAGTCAGTCTCAAAGTCAGGTAATTTGTCTAATTTTGTCCTTCTTTTCAAGTTTTTTTTATATTTTATTGTACTTCAGGTGAAGGCTTACAGTACAAATAGTTTCTCATGAAACAGTAGTAC